TGATGCTTTGTGAGTAAAAGGCAAAACAAACAGAAAAAATTTCTATTCGTGGTGGCATGTTCACCAGAACTTCAGCCCTTCGTTCTCTCCAGTCCTGTGAGATCTGCGCGTATATCATGGCCCATCGAGCACTGTCCTCTTTGTCAATATATAATTAATGAATTGTGCAGACACTGTGTAGCCATCACAACCATGTGACGTGTTCTCCGTTCTTGATGGACTAACCAGAGACTTATGTGCGGTAAAGAAAGAAGATGCTGCTTCTGCTAATTCAGTATCTCCCGCCACAAGTTTTTAACGGATGGCAAAGAGCGGAAATTATGGTGGATAATGGACTGTTTATGTTGCCCACAACAAGCATGAGTAAACTGAAAGTTTGATCTCATCATCTTAATCTAATTTCTCAGTAAGAAATATGTGTTGGAAGCCTAACCGATAAGAAGTAAACGCTTGCTCGTAGCTATTAAAATCGTGTTGTGTCCTTCATTTCTGATTGGGAAATCAGAGACTTATGAATCCATACAAAAGGTGTGTCTTATATAAGACATTAGTTCTTAATATAAAACTAGTTTTACAGTTAATTTAGTTTTAAATATAAGACTCTAATCTACTTTGTCTCTCATATTTATCTTTTTTTTTTCTCTTCAAAATAGTCCTTGTAATAGTTGTGCATGTCAAAGGTTCCATAAAATGATAGTTCTAGTTAATACATATGATTAACAAGGGTATCACAGAGAAGAAAATACTTATGCATTACCAATAATATAATTAACTTAACAAACTTTCTTAATATTTTCAAATTAGTCAACTAGCTATCATATTAAGGAGGGAGTTAATATATTATTACAATTTCTTTGTCATTCATAAAATCCTCCACAAGTGAAGATTCCGTCATTGAAGAATTAGAAAGTTAAGGTCAAAGATTTAATTTGAAGTATGTGTAAGTAGAATATTATGATAGATTCGTTAAAAAAGTAAACATCGTAATTAAACTCTACTATTCTCATCGTTTTTTCTCTCAAGAAACATGAGACCTTAAAATATGATCTTTTCTGTTATACCTTGGATATAACCAAACAAGGATTATGATGTCATTACAATTCAATAAATCCTTTACCTACTTTAAAAAGATGGAAAAAAGAAGATTATCGGTGGATGATTGCAGTTACAAAATAGAAATTATATCGACAAAGTTCATTGCATCAAACATGATGACTAAAGTATACATGTGTTAAAAGGAAATAAAAATTCTCAGCCAGCTGGAAAATACATAGTATTATGACCATGAAATAGTAAGTATTCTACTGAGTTCTGATTTAAGCTGAGGAGGAAACTATATACACACAATTAATTAATCACTTGGTTCATGTATAATTAGGTTGGAAGCCACATTTCTCTTTGTATGGAATACATCCAACTGGGTTCATTGAAGAAATATATCAAACATGAACCTTTGATTAAAAATTTTACTGCGCAAATTCCGTCTGGGTAGGTTTACCTGCATAGCAAGAGAGTAGTTCATAAGTATATATCATAAACACACACACATCACATGGACTACCGCACGAGTTCTGGTCATATCATAACACGCTCATCTTGTAGGATCATCTCAAATTACTGGAGATATAGAGAGTCTGAAGTTCGAAAATAAATGGCCTCATTTGTCACATGAATGCATCTTGTAGAAGAGATATCCAAGAATTTATGTGCTTAGCCAAACCACTGTCAACCAACTTTACAATGTTGTCCGAATCGACAAGGAGATTGTCTGGCTTTATGTCCCTATATAATCATACATTAAAATACAGAAAGAATGATATTAATTAAGGTAATCCGAACAAACATTAATTAAAAATTAATTGCAGATATATAATTGAAGTCATGAAACTAACTGGCCAGAGAGTTTTTTTTTTTTTTGGTCCTAGACATGGATATCCTCTTATTGAAGGCAATTTTATTCAAGGCAATATCGGACACTAAATGTGTAGGCACATCTCCCAACAAGGATTCGATCCTTAGTTTATCATGTTGTGAGGGACTAGCCTCTTCTGCTAAACACAATCCCTGTTGGTAATTAGAAAGTTATAATTACAAGTATTTGTGTATGCCTAGCTCCCTCGGCGTACTAATGTCTCTCTCGTACTTTACGTTTGTTTCGTTGCGTGTTCATGCAGACATGGATATTCGCAAGTAGCCACCAAGCCACGTGGATGAAATCGGACGAGCAGGACAAACAATCAGCACCCACCACACAAGGAGAGGTTTCAAACCAGAAATCGGAACCAACGGCAGAAGAAACATGACTGAAATTCAGAGCAATGTAAATAGGATTAGAAGAAAATGGGAATAGCTGGCCAAAAAAAACAAGAAGAAGAAAATGGGAAGGGGCAATAATGTCTTTTCATAATTTACTCAATTGCGATCAAGTATCTTTGGCTTCTTGTGTCATTTTCTTCCTTCTTATTTTATTTTATCTTTTGCCAGATTAATAAAACTGTACATCATAAAAAATATTATCCGCCTAATTTTCTTCCAAGGCCTCTAACAGACAAACCTGGAGTGGCGACTGAAAAGCAAAACATTCAGAAATTGGATTCATTGTTGATTTTCTCGACTACTTTCAAAGAAATAAACTCAACCAGAAACTACTTCCCTCTCAAACCAACTTCGCTTGCTGCAAGAGCTTTGATTATTTTAGGAGATGTTTTGATTAGTGAAAAAGTGTTTTTCAAAAGTATTTTTTCACAAATGAGACAAATCTCTTTATATATTTATTTTGTATACGTAAAAGTATTTTTAAAACCATGATTTTGTTTCCACTCAAACACTCTCTTAATGATGCTGAGCTCAATCAAATTGATAATAACTTTCGAGAATTATTCAAGAGTCAGTTATTAATCAAACAATTCGTTACCTGTCATCAGTTTGAATTCCACTTATCCAACTCCTAATTTTTTTTTTAAAAATATTCGCCCGTATATACTCCATTTTCCCAAAATACCCATCCTTTTAATCAATTATATTGGCGGTATTATACTATTATTAATATAGCTCAAAAGTCATATAAGAATTTAATTAACTATAATAGTGCTCGATTCAAATAAACAACTCAAACATGACCAGGCCATTTCAAACCTAATGCTTGGTAAAATAAACTAAAAATGATTGCATCACAACATTAAAAGGTTATACAATAACCACACAAAAAAGTCTCAGGATCTTGTATAGAGAGAAAAATAGTTATTATCATCAATGGATTATTAATGTCCTTAAGTGAGATATGAACGATAGGATAAAGTTTTAAAAAAAAAAAAATCAGCTGTTAAAGTTGGCGTGGGGGCATATATGCTTGGTCAATCTTTTAATATCTTAGCATGGTTTATACAAGTCATGCCGCTTGAATTCAAAACAAGCTAAGTATGACTGGGCTAGTTCAAACCCAATGTTTGATGAAATTAATTAAAGACCATTACACATCCCATCAAAAGGTTATACCATAACAACAACAAAAAGTCTCGGGATCTTGCATGGAGGGCAGATATATATAGAGTTATTATTATTAATACATTATTAATATCATTAGTTAGTTAAGATGAGACATATGATAAAGGATGGGTTAAAAAAATACTAAGAATCAGCTGTTCAAAGTTGGCGTGTATATATATATTATATATATATATATATATATCCTAGCTTAAATTATAAAGTAAAGATGGACTTGTCATGGTTCTGGCAAAAACAGAGGAGGGGACTTTTGGATTTTTTTTGCCCCCTCTTATTATACCTCATATACTTATTTGAAAGTTCAAACTCGCCAGTCACAATCTCATGTTCAATAAAGTCTTAAAAGAAGTACTTGATATCAATTGAGCCAAGAGCTCCTAACATATGAAATTTAACACTATAATTAACTAAAGATGAATTAATGGAAAGGTTATTAGGATATTTTATAAATAATATCTCTATCATTGATTGAACATCTCTAACTTGCAACAATTATGGTTGTGTTGTTCTCGAATTATGAATGATTTTTTATTAAAGAAAAAGCTCACAGGCGTTGTTTATCCAGTGGTATATTTTTATTATTTTATTTTTTTATCATAAAAAATTACTTAGCAGGAGATTCTTGCTTTTCTTCGTGATTTTTATGCTCTTCCATTTAAATTAATTTCTTCTAATGTCTTTTCTAATTTTTTAGAAGATAGTCTTTTTTTCCTCCTTGATTTAGTATTATGTAAACTTTGTTGATTCTAATATATCATTTTGCCCTTTTTTTAAATAAATAAATCTAAAAGTGAAGTTAATAAAACAGTGTATGTTGCGTATGTCTGGAATTCGAGTAGGGGATTCACGGAACATGACCTTGATATTCAAGGATTCCAAGAAGAAAAAGTAAAATTTGATTACAAGAAAGGAAGAAAAAGTAAAATTTATTTTAAAGTGAGTCAGAGTAAAATTCAGCCCACAAATTCAGAGTAAGGTGAGTCAAATATGATTAATTTCTGTTTGGAACGGAAACATTTGTTTATTATAAAAAAAACAGATTATGTGGCCACCTTTCTTTTAATCTGTTGATTAACTGGTAGGTATTTGTTGTTAAACTCATAAGTTGACTCATCAAATTTATTGTTTTTGCGTTTAATTTTAACTTGTAAAATCATGTTAACTCAGTTTTTACAAGTAATTTGGTCACACTTGACAATGAGCTAATTTTTTAATGAGTCGAATATGTATGAGATAAAACTTGATTCAAAGATGATATTAAAACCCAGTTGTTGTTTTTTTTTTCTTTTCGTTTTTTGATTATTTAATCGTATACTTTTAATAGCTATTTTTATTTATAGCGGTTAACTCTCCACCAGAGAACGTTTTTAGTTGTCAAAAGAAATATAACGACTGAATTGCCCTTAAAACATATCCATACCTCATCGATCATCCAAACTCATTCATCATACGCCGCGGGGGGATCAACATAGCTTGTTGAAATCGTGATGAGATTAATGGTTTCTCTTTCTGAAGATTCCATCTTGGTCTTGAAGGGTTTCATGGCTGGTTTTATGCAGATCACGGCTATAAGAACGGAGGAATGTGTTGCTGATTGCTTTGTCAGACTGCTCTACTTAGCGGAGGGTCATTTAGAACCGAACATGAACTTTTTTGCCTATCACCTCCGATATATTCCAACTTTTTTGGCTCTTGGCATCTTCTATGCTCTATTTCCCATATCCTCAGTCATATCCACTGTGTTCATCACCTTCTTTTTATATATTTACGCAGAGCTACTCTGCAAAATCGCAGACCAGGTGTGCCAATTCTTCCCTTCTCCTAACAAGTATTTAGATCCATGTCAAATATATACCTTATTAGCTGCTACTAACCTTCACTTCATTGTGCCACAACAATAATATATACCTTATACACAATATCTTGAGTTGAGTCATTAATCTACTTTACTAATAAACATGCTTTTATGAACTTGTTCTTAAATATATATGTATATACTATCTCGGCTACTTAAAATAAGAGCTAGTTTGATATTTATTTTAGTTCTAAATATAATATCCCGATCCATTTTATCTATCATATTAATTTTATTTTTTCAAAATAACCCTTGTAATAATTCGCATGTTAATTGTTCCATTAAATGGTAGTTCTAACTAATATGTATGATTAGTAAGAATATTCTAAGAAAGATAACACCTTGTTATTACAAATAACTAATTTAACAAACTTCTTTAATATACTCAAATTCATCAACTAGCTCTTATTTTAAGTACAAGAGGTAGTGTGTATATATATATATAAAATTGTTGCTTCAATGATCAACCAGGTACGTATCATAACTACTAGCAGCTTCATGGTTATTTTATTTCAGTCTGCATACATTCAGTTTGGTTTAACGCTTCTTTTAATCAGTGTTCAATCTTTTTTTGTCGGGTGTGATGTAGCAATGGGGGAAAAGACAAAATAAAGCTTGCAAAATCAGGTCCCATATGCCTAAGTTTGATCCCTGATCCAATCCTGTACTGTTATTTTGGACTAAGTCCAATCTATAACTTTGAAAAGCAATAAAAGAAAACAAAGAAAGGTCCCACTTGTTTCTTTCATGTGAGTCGTTCTAGCATCTTAAGGCTTCAATGTGTCAAGTATAATCGAATCTTGCAATCTTTTGAATCTCTCTTGTTGAGCCATTCAACACCAAATATCCTTCTCCATTTAATTTAAGCCAAGCAAAGGGCGGGTTTTTTTTTTGTGTGGATAAAATTAAAGGCAAATGGACATTAAACTATGAAAAAAAAAATGTAACAAATTGTTTTAGCATCTCACCATGTCCTTAACAATACGTACTCAACAAATGGACATTATATTTTTATCATTGAAGCCTCTTCTTCGAACACACAGTCAGTTAATCCAACAGATTCCTGATGCTGCTAATAATAGTTCAATCCCTTCTATCACCAACTTTAGCCAAGGGGAAACCCAGGATCCTGTTGGTCAACAGAATTATAGCGCTCCTCATTCAGTCTTTTCTACCTCAAATTTTAGCCAATGGGATATATGGGATCCCCCTATTGGGGGCGGTGGATTCGCATTTGTTCATGTTGCCTCTAACAGGTTTTTACATACTTCTCGGACTAAATTCATATTTTGATTTTATTTTCTTAATTTCATCGCTTGTTCGTCAATAATTGTACCATAAAAAAAAATGTCTCGTGTTTTTATTCTTGACAGAGTAACCGGAGACCGGTGTGCTGTAAAGAAACTGAAAGACCCTGACAATTTTGACAACGCAAGATTTCTTATTCAGGTACCTTTTTTGTTACAATGTTTATTTGTGGCGGAGCAAATTCCATGGTGTTCATAAATTTAAACCGTCTAAATTGATTTTGGATGCCCCGCGTTTAATTTAAAATTTTAATGTATTTTCAATAAATTTTTATTTTAATACACATCATTACTTTTAACACTATTAATGACATTTTAGCAGAATTTTAACACCGTTACACTTTCAGGGACTAACATTTTAAAATGGGTTAAATTCGAGGATTAAAAATATGAGTTTAAAATTTGAGTGACTAAAACCAAAATAAACCCAAATTTAAAGGATAAAAAATTATATTAAACCTTTTAAAAATTGCAAATTGTGTCGCGTGTTTTGTCAAACTAACCTTCTTTTTTACAATCCAAACATAATTTATATCATAGTAACTTGCTTTTATCTTAATTTAATTTTTCAAAAGTCCATTGAAATAAAAGCAAATTCTGTCATTATAAATCTAAATAAGCCCATAGTTTCTAAATTGAGAAGTGATGTTTATGTTATTACGTACAAGTTGTGTTTTTGCCCATATTTATAATTAAGGCTTAGAGTAAGTTAAAACAATTTGATCGAAGTGAAAAATACAAACTCTATACTTGCTTTAAGATGTAAATTAAACAGATAACTACAGTAACAAAATATATATTAAAAAATAATGATTAAAGTGGATTTAGTATCCTAATCTTTTTTTGATACATCCAACACCTTAATATTTATGATAATGGATGCATTATAAACAATAGGATTAAGATGCAATTTTTTTGATAACAATTAAGATGCAATTTTAACAACAAAATTTTAAATCAAAAGCGTCCGGCACTAATTAATTTTGAAGGGTGTAAACATAGACATAATCATTAAAAAAGAGAGTAATTTCATTACTCATGTTAAAAAGCCTAAACGTCTGTTTGTTTTTCTTAAGGTGGGTCCCACTCATTTGCGCTTATTTCTTCTCCGTTCTGGTTAGTCATCTTCTTCCATCTTTTTTTTTAATGATTATGCATAATTTTGCATCCTCCAAAACAAAATGGTGCTAGATGCTCTCAGCGCAAAACTTTATTATTAAAACTATACCTTAACCCCTGAAAAATAATATTCGGGTGCTAAATGCACCAAAAAAAAAAAAGATTTGGGCATTAGACATTATAAATAAGTTCAGACTGTTAAATGTACTTGAAAAATAAGATCAGAATGTTGAACACACCTTTATCACAAAAAAAAGAAAAGGAAAAAAAAATCACATGCTTCATTATACCATAGTGGGCTAACATGTGTTTTTTGCATTTAGGAAATCGAAATTCTCAGCCAACTGGAGCATCCAAACATTATAAAGTATCGTGGGAGTGAAAGAGTAAGTTATGCACTAATTTATGGCGACAGAAGCATCAATTGTGCATCATTACTTGTTTTTGAATTCGCCACAAGGTCCTTTTGTGCATGCGTGTGCCTAATCAATATATGGGTTTGTGGGTGAATAGGTTGGAAACCAGATATGGCTATTAACGGAATATGTTCAAACTGGGACACTCACAAAGTACATAAGTGAACTAGGCGCTTTCCAAGAACGTTTTGTTCGAGATATCACTGTCCAAATTCTCTCTGCATTGGCTTACTTACACAGCAAAAGAATAGTCCACAGGTACACATTCCATCCTGTCTCTGTACTCAGTAGTATTATGTGCAACACTGCATCAGTTCCTCGTAACTGCAAGTATTATCTTTTTTTGGTATGTTCATCGATCTCCCTCCAACTGCTTGGTTTATTATGATATGTAAATATTTCGTTGTGATTTGCACTTAATTATACTCATCAACCGTATGGTCCAGCCAAGTTTGTAATAATTTATGTTGTTATAATCTTTAACTAATTCAACTTTTTTCCCCCTTTACTATTATGCTTATATAGGGATATCAAGCCCGATAACGTACTCGTCGATTCTTATGGCATTGTAAAGCTTATTGACTTTGGTTTGGCTAAACATGTAAGTACTTGAATATCTCTCCTACTGCATCTAGTAAACGTAATTTTATTAAAATTTCATTATTCCTTTAAGACTTCTGTCTTCCTCTTCACTTACTCAGCAATTGTGCGTTTTTTCCCCCCGTCCCCAACATGCATGTTGAAATTTGAATGAGCCTCTTGAAAAGAAAATTACTTTCTTTCACAACTAAAAAAAAAAAAATTGCGTGTTTTCCCCCCCCCCCCCTTTCTTTCACTCGATCCTGGCCTGCATCTCACATCACTTCAGTTTTCACCTCGATTGACTTTTTAACACCTAGGGAATTATGATAGTCCCTATATGGTCAGCAACGCTAATAATAACGGGCTTTTCTGTGTTGAAAAGGTAAATGATTCTATGGGCAGTCACTCCATGTGGGGAACTTCACATTATGCAGCTCCAGAGGTATGCATTTTCATATACTCTATATCATCATAATTTACAAAACTACTACCTCCGGTCCTAATTATAAGACCCAGTTGATTTATTTGAGGAGATTAAGGAAGTAAGTTAAGTTAGTTATTTGTAATAAATAAGTGTTGTCATTCCTAAAATATCCTTGCTAATTAAGTATATTGGTTAGAACTACCATTATTAGAAGGATTATCTTGGAAAAAAATACATAAATATGAGAGACAAAATAGATTCGGGTCTTATAATTAGGACCAAACAAAAAGTCAAACGGAGTCTTCTAATAAGGACCGGAGGTAGTATTAATTAATTAACAAACCATGTTTCTCATGCAGACTCTTCAAAATCAAGAATATAGCAGCTCGTGTGAAGCCTATAGCGCTGATATATGGAGCTTGGGTTGTGTAATCATTGAAATGTTCACAGGGAAGCGCCCTTGGCTTGATCTTGATTGGGTATAACACCTTTAACCATTATTATCTTTCATTTTTCATTCAAACAAATATATATACACACACTAATTCGAGTGATGATGATCGGTAAGGGGCTGATTAATGGATGGTTCAGTTATAGTTAAACTTAGCATTAAATGGAATCATTTTATGCAGTGGCAGGTCAACCGTGAAGTGTGTTGGAACAAGCAAGATCCTGAAATACCACAGGATTTGTCGACTGAGGGTCAAGAGTTTGTCCAATTATGTTTTGAAAGAAATCCAGCGAAGCGGCTATCAGCTGCAGAATTACTGCAACATCCATTCACGTCTTGGTAAGTGCAGTTTTGCAGAAAGGCATAACAATGGAAAGAAAATCCTAAAGATGGAGAAATTAAAGAGAAGAGAGATATGGTAGTATAGATGATTAGTACTTCATTTATAGAATAGATTTCTTATATATCTAGGGCTGAAAACTCACCGATTTCTTGATATAGATTTTTTTTTTAAAAAAAAACTTTTTAACTGTTATGAATAATATCATTAAGTTGTGGATGTCCATGAATCAACAACTCATAGGATTAATGACCTTAATTATGGTCTTCATGAATCAAAACTTCCAAGCAGACTTAGCTTTGCACTTTCTTCTCGCTTTCATGAATTTAAATTAAAACATTAAGTTAAAGACCTTTCATTTGAAGACCTTTCATCAAGTGTATGTGCAAAAATTCTTGATAATGTGCGCCACATTATATTCTTTGGGTTATTTTTTTAATGACCAAAGGCCTATGAATAGAGGTTTTGCAATTTTGGCTCATGACTAGGATTTGAATGAATGAATGAACGAACCAGGTAGGATTATAAATTAAATAGACGCTCCAAATCCTCCTCATTCAATGAAATGAAGAGAAAAGAGTCAGAATATTGTGTAATAATAAGATGCAGATGGACCATATATATGTGTGTGTATATTATTTTAGTAGGTTTTGATTCAAAACCCTAATATATAAGACAAGCCTAGTTGAGGAGAGACTGCTTTTCGCTCTCTGTAACTTGAAGAACAATAGTTTCTATTACGAGTAACTCCTACTCCGAAGAAGAAAAACCTACGTTTGCTGTTGAGAATTTGATTCCTGAAGGATTCAATTAATTAATGGCCATATAGTTAGCGTGAAACTCAAATTGTTACTTAGACTCTAAAAATCAAGAATCAAACTTGCGTTTAAGGAACAAGTTACACCAAAGTTTATCGTTCTGGTTAGATTGGAAGAAAAGTTGAGAGAGAAAAAAATGATCACAGGAGAGAAAACAGAGAGAACAAAAAATTAGAGGGAAGTTGTTATCATCCCTCTTACTTGGATAGATGAGAAAAAATAGAGAGAAAAGAAAATTAACAAATATCTAAATGACTAAAATATCTTTATCAAAATATATCATATTTAAAATTAAATTAAATTAAATATTGTAATAGAAAAATTATACTAACGTTAGCATAATCAAATAATTTAAAATCAAGTTATTTGGTTTATATATATTTTCAGATTATTATGCTTTAAAACCAAATTATTTAATAAAAATATTGTTTTAAGATAAAAAAATAAAAAGTGAATAAATTTTTAAATATAATAAAAGAAAATAAATATGGAGAGGAAGTGAGAGGAGGGGCAATCATAAAAATCTTGTTTTCTTTCCCAAATCTCCATATATGGAGAGAAAATTTGGAGAGAAAATAGGACATGGAGCCTATCTTATTTTTTCCTCTACTTTTTCTTCCTCCCATATTTTTTTCCCCATCCAAGCAAGAGAAAACTTGTTTCCCCTCATATTTTTCTCCCTAATTTTCTCTCAATTCAAGCAAGGGTACGTTTTCATCACCATTTTACAATGAAAGAATCCTAATACAACACCTGAGATATGTGTTATGCCAATCTACTCCGTCTGATTCTACAGATAAGATTTATTTAAAATATTTTATTTATTCTTAAGTTCAAATTTTCTCACGTCTCCTATGTTAATTGTTTTTTTTTCCCTCTTAATACCCCTATGTATTAGAGTATTTATATATCTGTAGTCTCCTTCTTTTGTCTTCTTGGTATGCGATTCGAGGAACGACCATTCTGTCTATTAATGATTTGTGGGACGTAGTTTTCTATTGGGCTCTGTTGGATTCAGATTCAAAGCCTACGGACTACAGGGGACATTTGGTTTCGTCCTTTCCAGAAAATCTGATTTTTGGGATTAAATGATGACGTGGAATAATTATATACCTAAGTTTTGTTTTTATGAATTTTTTAAAAATTATGAAATAGTTAAAAAATGTTGCAAAGTTCTTATATTTGAATTTTTAATATTATTTGAGAGCTTAACGTCACCAGCCAGATTGTTAACTAAAAATAAAACATTTTTTTCAGGGAACAAATTAACTACGTGTCCCCAACATTTTGATTATTTACACACACATACATATATTAGGAAAATTAATCCTTTTATGTGAAATTAAATATTAATATTGTAGTCTTCTTATAATTCACTTGAATTGATCCTTATGCGTTAATCTTTTTGTACCAACAAAATGTCACTCCTTATACATTAAAAGAATTAGAGTTAATCCCTACATCATCTTTTTTTTTTTGGCCAATAATCCCTACATCATCTTAAACTTTAATTTTTAGTCCTTAAATTATACGCGAGTCAATCTCATGTATCATTCGTATTTTATTAGTAATTCTATGTAAGTTTTTATTTTTAAAATTACGTTTACAATCATTTATAAGTATGTTTTACATAATTTAAAATAAAATTTTTATGTACTTATTTTATATTTTATAAATCATGACTCAAAAATTATTTATAAATTATTCCAAACGTAACGGCCAGTGACCAAATGGGCAAAGAGACAACCACATGCGACAACCGACGCCAAAATAGTGGTTTTTCTCAAAGTTTTGTGTATGTATTGTACAAACTATATATTTTAGTGACAGACGACAAAAAGAAGAAAATTATAATGAGATGGTAATTAAAAAAAATTATTATAAGTCCTAATAACAAGTAAGAAATTATTATTCACTATTTTAGAATTTATCAATATAAATTGCTCTGTTATTATTGAAAATTTTTAATAGTTATGTTTTTTACTTGAAACTTCTTTCTAATTCTCCCATAAAAATAAGCACATCAGCATGCATGTATATATGTTTTGTGTTAGAAAACCACAAGTGGAAGAACTTCGACATTTTATGTTTAGATAAAAACTAAACTATAGTTTTAGAAATAATTTTACGGTATACAAAATAAATATGTGGAGAAGGTTACCTTAATATACAAATAAATAAATGTTTTTAAAAAATATTTTTAAATATATCCAAATACCCTTTTCGAGAGAACTAAATGCTCCTGCCCGGGTCTCCTTACCAGATAGATAAATAAATACTCCTTTCCGGCGGTAAAATAAATACTCCTTTCCGGCGGTCTATCTTTAATTGTGACTATATGACTTTCTCAGATTTAAGTGTTATAGGACTCAATTAAAGATACCTCTCCCAATTTTTTTTTCATTTAACGTACTGGAACTTGTAACCTCGCGTTTAAGCAATTAAATCCCCTTCTACTAGGATCAACACCTAATGATCCTTCTCATTTCTAATATAGAGCTTAGTGAGAGGCTGGACATAATCATAGATATAAAATTTTAATTCATTTTGTTTTTTATATTTATTATTTTTCTCAAATTAATATAGTTAATTTGTTAGTTGATATTAATCTAATGTCACATGGGATATTTTGGAAAAAATTATGTTACATCTGTTATAACCAATTGATTGATTGATTGATTAAATCTTATTAATTTACCTAAATTAATCAAGAAGCTCTTATATTAATAATAAAAGTAGCGTTTATTATCTATATATCAACTCAAGTTGGAGTTAGTAATAAGGGAAGGATTCGCCTTTTATTATCATGAATCATGCAAAACATATTGTTTCAAATATTAGACAAAAGAAAATAAAATATTGTCCACTTGAAAGTTAAAATAACCGAGTGAGTACTCAACTGCCAAAATGACCCCCCGGTCCCCATATAATACCTAATACGTCACCGGTACTTGAGCATTGTTGAATCGTACTTGACCCCTATCGTGTGCCTCCTATCTTATTGTATATGACTCATATCTATCTCTTTATATAATACTCTTCCAGTCCTAAATATAGGACCTCTTTTATAGTATAAATTACACTACAAAATGGGTCTTATATTTAAGATCAGAAGGAGTATATCAATCCATCTCATTTTGCTCTCCCACTCATTTTCTATAATTTCTTCACAATCGCCATGGGAGAACCTCAAAAATCGCGGCTTTCCGTAATTGGTATGTCAAATTTCTCATCTTTTACACACACATACTATCATGTCTCTTTTGTTCGTAGATCACAAATCATCCTGCAGAAATTCACTGTACATATATAAACATGATCTCACTTCAATGACATAGCTACTTAAAATTGATTTTCAAAGCTTTTTAACTTGTATCCATGAAAATTACCTGCTTGAAATTAACTGCCTGTATATGCATGAGGAGGATGCAACAGAGGAATATAGCATGGTTCTAGTATAAAGTTGGATGATTTGTAAGATTACGTGAACTTGAAACATAGGCTGACTTTGATCAATCAACCCACCGGATATATCTATGTAATATAAACGCGTTGTTGCATCTCATGATATCATTGTCTCTCCGGGTGTTTAAGTCGCCTACCCACTTTCTTCGTAAAAAATGTGATCACATGTGTATAGCTAATGAATCGATCATTTGAATTGTTTTCTCAGAATCTGGTTGAGCCAGAGACAAGAATCCAAATGTTGATACAGAGTCTGATGCAGCCAAGCAAACAGATCACAATGGAGATACCGGTGATATCCCTAATGAAGAAAGCACAGCAATCAAAAACAAAAAGAGACATCAACGTTGGTTAAGAATAGCCTTCTATATTGTCTCTGTCTTGCTGGGCCAATCAGCTGCAACACTCTTGGGAAGACAGTATTACCAAGAAGGTGGACCCAGCAAACGGTTGGGAACACTTGTCCAGCTTGTGGGTTTCCCTATTCTCCTCCCGTTGTACTCTATCCCTGCATCCAAGCAAACCTCTGCTACAAATACAGTTATTCACAATCATGAACAGCCCTCTGTTTCAAAGCTAGCACTTGTTTATGTCTCCCTTGGTCTTCTTGTTGCATTAGACTGTTACTTATTCTCTGTTGGTCTCTCTAACCTTCCTGTTTCTACATGTTCTCTTACTTGCTCCTCACAATTAGCCTTCAATGCCTTCTTCTTCTTCTTCCTTAATTCACTCAAATTCACACCTTACATCATAAACTCTTTAGTCGTTTTAACAATCTCCTCCTATCATACTGATTCTCCTTCAGCATACACACAAGTTTCAAAACAGAAGTATGTGATCGGGTTCATATGAACAGCTGCTGCTTCAGTTGGGTATGGACTGGTGCTTTCTCTGACACAGCTTGCATTCAGAAAAGTCTTCAAAAGGGTAAGTTTCAAGGTGATTCTGGACATGATAACACACCAATCACTTGTGGCACCATTTGCAACACTAGTGGGGCCGTTTGCTAGTGGGGAGTTCAGAAGTTTGAAGGCAGAAATGAAGGGGTATAGAATGGGGAAGGCAAGTTATGTGCTGAATTTAAGCTTTACTGCTATAACATGCAAGTTTTTAATGTGGGATGTGTGGGCTTGATTCTGGAGGTGTCTTCTTTGTTCTCTAATGTCATAAGTGTTTTGGGTTTGCCGATTGTACCGATTTTGGCTACAGTATTCTTCCATGACAAGATGAACGGGTTGAAGGTCATATCTCTGTTACTTGCTTTTTGGGGTTTTCTCTCGTACATCTTCCAGCAATGCTTGGATGAGACCAATTCCAAGACTCAGTACAGAAACAATGATGCTTTATCCAGAAGCTCCCTGCTGTCACAAGGCGTGAATGGAAAATCTGGGTAAGTAGAAACAGGTCACTATGATGCTGGCGGTCCAAGAAAATATTTATAGTAGACGCAGATATATCAGAATTGGATGTAACTGAACTTTTATCTCATTGGATTCATGTCTGTAAATTAGGTTTATCCAAAATTATCTCAAAGGACAATCTAAAAATTCTCAATGTTGTGGTGTTATTTGCAGATGTAAAAGTTCAAGTCTCACTGAGGGACAAGAAACGAACGACAAGTAAATTTAAAGCAAATCCTACAGAATGTTCATGTTCGGTTCACATAGCACATATAAACTGAGCGATTTTACACAGTATGTGTATAGCAGTTACCGTTGTTTGATTCCAATCATATGCTTTTTCAATAGAAGGGCCACCAATTTATTTATCACCAATAACGAATGAGACTGATGTTACATTGGATTATCCAGTTACCTCAACATTTGCTGCTTCCCAGTCATCACATAAAACAAGTTGGCCTAGGGATTTGTGTTGTTTTCTTCACTCTTCTACTTCCGGGAACCTGACAAGCGTATTATAATTCTTGATCAAAGCTGACAATTTTGTGCAAAGGTGTAATGATACAGATTTTGAATGGGATGGGCCAAGAATTAGGTCATGGCCTTTTGGGAAAGAGAGACAATGCTTAACAGGCGGTGAAGAAAATTCTGAACCCTTTTCCCTCTTATATGCTTAATGATGGAGTAATTATTAAGTAGGTATTCTTATTATATTACATCACTTATATTCCACCCAATTTTAAGGTTCTAAATCATAAAAAATGAGCCTAGATGTATTACAGTTTTATACTTTGCCCCTCACCTTCCTACCATCTTCCTTAATACTTCCTGTTTTCTTTCTCGATCTTTCATGGAAATTATTATCCTTAACTCTTCAAGGATCACAAAGCGTGGTGGCTGCGGATTCTGAGTTTATCAAGGAAGGTGATAGTGCTTCAGTTATACCGTTTCCGTCCCTTGAAACTCTTCATTTCATCTCCATTGGATTTGAATTTCTAATTGCAAGTTTTTGACGTCCTTGTTTGATGACATGGAACATCTTCTCCCAAATTTAGAAGAGCTAAGCTATGCATAGGGAGATGTCCAGAAATGGAGCCATTTTCATCGGGATTCTTACCATCCAGTTGGAAACAACTTGAGATAAGAGACTCTCACAAGTTTAAATTATGGCCTGCATTTTAGGTGCACTGATCTGATATCCCTTATTCCAATTACTAGTTTAATACTGTTTTGCGCGCGCACGTGTGTATATGTATGTCTTACATGCAAGTAGACAAGTATGCAGTGCTTCGCCATGCAAAATGTTATTCAATACTATCTTTATTTTTAATATAAGAGCTAGTTGATTAATTTAAATAAATTAAAAAATTAATTAAATTAATTATTTATAATAAATAAATATTGCCTTTCTAAAATATTATTTAATGAAATATTTAACATGTGTAACTATGAAATTAAAAACTGAACCGGACCGGCTGGTTTAAAGTTTAAACCGTAAACAGGCAAACCGATCACCTTTCTGGTCCAGGTGATCACAAAAGCTGAAGAAGAACTGAACCAGTGTGACTTAGTGTAAACTGAAGTGAGCTGGGACTAACCCAAATAACCCGCTGGGCTAAGTGGATTACCGGTCTATTTTTAAAAAAAAGGGGAAGGAAAACTCCGCTACCGGATCTCGCTGCTGTTCTCCTTACCTGCCGCTACCATACAAAATGGCCTCTTGGTTGTACTCCCTCTTCCATTCTAGTAATTAGATCTCCCTCTTCGACCATTGTAGACACTGACAATGTTAAGTTCAAAGAAGAGGACTGATCAATTTGGCCAAGGAGAAGTCATGGAGGCTGCTAAAAGTCCAAGCCTTAAGGTGCACTCCTTCTAGCTTGTGGGTGAGTTGAGACTTGCTGGCGGGTGCTCCTCTCTTGTTTGAGGAAATCCGAAGACACTCGCGGGCTGCTCCTCTCTGGTTTGAAGAAATCCGAAGACACAACTGATAATGGCTCTTGATTGAGGAAATGACCTGAGAAAGAAAGTGATTATTATTAATTCATTATTACTTTTATTTGAGAAAGAGAGAGTCAGAAAAGGTATTAATGGAGAGGAGAGAGATAAAAAATTAGAAAAATTACAAAAAAAGACCTCTAATTATATAAAATTATAATTTGAGACTCTCAATTTGAAAAATAGCAAATAAAGACCCGATCTTACTTTTGTAAAGATGAAATCATGATAAAATATCTGAAATGCCCCTTAGTCAAATAACAAGTTGACTATGAAAAATGACAAGTTCACTTTAGCGAATGATAACTTCAGTAGACCAAATCACACCTTGGATGAGGGTATGCCGAATGACAGGTTGACTATTATAAATAAAAATCATTTTAGCGAATAACAATTTCAATGGACCAAATCACATTGAGGGACATTTCGGACATTTCACCCACATTTCATATTTGCAAAAGTGAGATCCGGTCCTTATTTGCTATTTTTCAAATTCAGGGTCTCAAATCATAATTTTACATATCAAGAGGTTTTTATTTGTAATTTTTCCTAAAAAATTTGTCTGCGTGTGAAAAAAGAAAAGAGAAAAGACTTGATGTGTTGAAGAAGGAAACAGAATAAATCATAATTAAAATAAGAACATATTTATAAATTTTAATTAAATTATATTATTTTAATTATTATGACTCCGATTTGATCCTAATCTAATCCACTGATCCCTTAACTTGCTGTCTTAACTGGATCATTCACCGGTCTGGTTTTTAGTACCTTGTGTGTATTACTACAAGAACTATATTAGAAGAAATGGAAAAGAATGAAAGACAAAGTGGAGTAGGATCTTATATTTAAAACCAAATTGAATGCCAAACTAACTTTTATATTAAAGACCAATATAATTACATGATTCAATGAATCCACAAAAATTATTACTCTTCTTATATGTAACCAGATTCATGTGAGTGAAAAACCAACTTGTAGGAGTCTTTTTCTTATTTTTATGCTTTTATTTACTCTCAATTAACCTCTTGAAGCATGCATTTCTTGAGTTGGAAGATTTTTTGCTACTCCTCTGGTCCTTAAAATAAAACCTATTTAACTAATTTGATTAGATTAAGAAAGTTAGGTAAGTTAGTTAATTATAAGAAATGTGACACGTTTTTTCCTCAAACACCATAATTATCTTTTTTAATACCCATCTCCCTTTTCTACTTGATTTGGTTAAGGGGTATCTATAAAGGTAATTTAGAGAAAATTAATAAATATGATAAATGGGTTTTATATTTAAGACCAAAACTAACTCAATAATTGGGTCATATATTAAGGATCGAAGGAGTATTTAATTGTTCAATGACTTCTTCAAATCCTTTCATCTAATTCTTATGTATACAGACACTCCCGTCCAAGCCAATAACTTGCTACCATGCATTCATTCCAGTGCTTTTCGGAAAAGGGGTATGGTTATTATTCCACCCACCATTCAAAACTTTCTGTTCAAATTAGTGCACAAATTATATTGTGGTTAAATTTATAATACTGAATTAATGTAAATGCCAACTCTCAAACTTGCAGCTGTCTCATTTTTGGCAGGGGCTTGAAAATCCATGAATCTCACATGAATTTAGGAAGAACTGTTAATGTGACGAGACACCCCACAAATTATATTGTACTAGTTCCAGTTCTTAATATAAGACTCCGTTTAATTTTTATTTGGTTTTAAATATAAGATCCTAATCAATTTGTCTCTTATATTTATGCAATTCTTTCCAAGATAATCTTTTAATAATTTAGCTTTAGTCAATACACTGGATTAGTAAGGATATTTTAAAAAAGATAATACCTATTTATTAAAAATAACTAACTTAACTTATTTTTTTAATCTCCTCAAATTAGTCAACTAGCTCTTATAATTAGGACTGGAGGTAGTAGTATTTTGCCAATCTAAGTTCTCTTGCTTTCTTTTTTTCTTTCTTTCTTTTTTTGGCTTATTTCTTTCATATTTCTTTTTCATGCTCTCCTTTATAGGGTGTGTTTGGATTAACGTTAGACAAAACTGACTTCTAGTTCAACTGATTTTTGTAACTGAAATTAGAGTAAAAAGCAATTAGTGTAATGTGATTTATGTTTGGATAGATGCTTTTAAAAAGTCAGTTTAAAAAATTGAAAGTTATTTCGATGATTAATAAAAAAGTTAGTTTAGTTATAAAATAACTGAAAAGAACATAACTTTATTGAATAGTAGTGTTTGAAATTTTATATTTTTAATGTGATAATAGTTTAAAAAAATATGTAAAATTATTATGATAAAATATAAATAGTTTATTTATAAAATTATAAAATAAAAATATGTGGTACGGAGAAAAATTTGAAAACACATTATAATAATTAATTAAATATACGTAATGGATAAACTTGAATATAAATTAAAATGTATTTGGTATGAATAAAAGCTCATTATGCTAATGAAAGAGACGAGGCAGAGAAAAAAATATGAAGGTAAATCTGGGATGCTCATCTTTAATGATTACTGTTTGAAACTGTAGTTTGAAAAAAGAGATTTTTCTCCGTTGAATCTAACTGAGATTGAAGGCCATAAGTTAGTTAGAAAAGTTAGCTCAACCAAATAATATTGTTTGTCCAACTCACTTTGCGATTTCAGTTTCATAATTTCCAATGAGTGTTTACCGTTTGTAACTATAATCCAAACATGACCATAATGTTTTCTCGTTTCTTTTTGTATTTGCAAGAGTACTTTGTTATATTGATTTTTTTTTTTCCCTGGGTTGTAAGGAGCTTAGGTATTAGAAAGTCTTTTTCCCCCAGTTATTGCATTTCTCTTAGCAATGTTCATGGTATGAAAACCAAACCGGGTTCGATATGCTAGTGACTAGGCTGGATTTTATTTCATTTTTCATTATTGGGCTTAAAGCAACATCATTTTAGGTTTTTAAAAAAGTAGCAATCCATCATATTTGTGTTTTATTAGCTTTATTTTATTGGATTATGTGTAGTGTATATATAAATATTCTAATTTCCAAATAAATAATTATCTTTTTATTTAAATATTACTTTATTTAGAGTTATATGTAAATATTTTTATCCATTTAAATTAAATTAAATTATTCTAAATGATTGGTTTGATCTGATTTCGGATTGCAATTCAGTTCTAAATTTTAATTCGAAACTTCAATGATATCCTTCATATTATTCTTCATATACAATAGCATTTTCATAATTTCTAACATAGGCATCTAACTTTATAATTCAAAAATTATTTAATTGTATAATCGTGCAAGACGAGAGCACAGCTGAGACTTATCATTCCTTTCTTCTTCTTCTTCTTTTTTTTTTTAATTAAAGAGGTATAAACAGGAATTAAGTTGGGAATTGGCTTTTGCAGGAAAAAAAATTGGAAATTGGTTTCCACGCTCATGATTCAAGATAAATAATTAAATAATAAGTATCTCAATTGAACTGTCCAAATTAAAGTCAGTCGACCAATATCTAATATTATTTTATATTTTTAGTATATTTTAATTTTAATTGACGTGTAATCTAAAATAGAGATGATTTTTAAATTTTTGTTTTTAACAAAATAAGCTATCATAAAATTTAAAGCTTTAAAACCCAAATTAAATCTCATCACAATGATAAGATCATATAAAGCTGGGCCGCAAAGTCAAAAGCAAAAAGATAAAAGATAAAAAAGATAAAAATAACCTGAAAACTAAATAAGGCCAAGTCTGTCTGTCTTGCAACTTCGCAATAATATGCTTCACTGATCAACCTGGAAAGATGATAAAAATGAGCATCCTACAATAAAACATATGAAAGTTACCAATATGAGTTAGATTTAGTGGAAGGACCCAGATGCTCATAATGTCTCTGAGAAATGTCCATGTCCACATGTAATGACTAATAATGCCTTAAATAGTATTATCTTTAATAAGAAGATATTCTTAGCAAAAAAAAAGTTAAGATCAATTCAGGTCCCAAAAAAGGTATTAATTAAATATTACTATCAGTTATCTGTGATATTTAACTCTTATACATACCAATCATGCAAAACTTGGTTGTGCCAAATATCTTAATCTAACCAACCTAGCATTCAACTATCAATATGTCACCCTATCATTTATCACCAAATCCAATAATTGAGTATTGTGTTTTTGGGGGATATTATCACCAAATCCAATAATTGAGCATTGTTTTTTTTTGGAGGGGGGTTTGATGTGACACATACCATCGTCTCTTCTATAATTCATCTCTCTATATATCATAATCCATTTCATTTTGCACTCCAAGTCTCCAACTCATTAATTACTCTCTCTCTCTCTCTCTCTCTTCCTTTAATAAAATTGTTCACATTTGCCATGGGAGAAGCTCAGGAATTGCAGCTTTCCATAATTGGTATGTCAACATTCTCATTTTTCACATATAGATATATTATCATATCTTTCTCTTCTGTTCTTAGATCACAAATCACCCTGTAGAAATTTGCTGCACATGTATGTGATCTCACACACGCATTGCATCTCATCAGTTTGGAAATTCTATAGATATTTCAGTCACCTATTAATTTATATTTATTATTTTTCTCCAAACTAAGTTGTCTAACTTATAAACTGATATATGATCTAATGACATGTATAAATATTTCAGAAAGATAATGTAATATACATTATAATTAAGCAATTTTTTTAATATTTCAAATTAGTCAATTAAGTCTTATATTAAAAATTTGAAGAAGTATTTAGCATATTTACTCATGAGTGACAGGAAGCTCTTTTCTATTATCATACAACATGTCTATATAGCTATAACAGATTGATCGTTTCAATTGTCTTAGAAGCTGATGAAGCAAAAGAAAAGAAACCAAGCAGTGATGCAGAATCTGACTCAGACAAGAAAACAAACCCCAATGGAGATACCAGTGATTTCCCTGATGAAGCAAGCACCACAATCATAAACAAGAAGAGACACCAACGTTGGTTAAGAATAGCCTTGTATGCTGTCCCTGTTTTGCTGGGCCAATCAGCTGCAACACTCTTGGGAAGATTGTACTACCAAGAAGGTGGACACAGCAAATGGTTGGGAACACTTGTCACTTTTGTGGGTTTCCCTTTGCTCCTCCCGTTTTATTCTATTCTTGCATTTAAACGCCCCTCTGCAACAAATACCAGTCACAGTCATGAACAACCCCCTGTTTCAAAGCTTGCATTTGTGTATGTCTCCCTTGGCCTTCTTGTCGCGTTAGACAGCTACTTGTTCTCTTTTGGTCTCTCTTACCTTCCTGTTTCTACATATTCTCTTGTTTGCTCCTCACAATTAGCCTTCAATGCCTTCTTCTCCTTCTTCCTTAATTCACTCAAACTCACTCCTTACACCATAAACTCCTTAGTCCTTTTAACAATCTCATCCGTCCTTCTTGTCTTTCACACTGATTCTCCTTCGGCATCCACACAAGTCTCAAAAAGGAAGTACGCGATCGGTTTCATATTCACAGTTGCTGGTTCAGCTGGGTATGGACTGGTGCTTTCTCTGACACAGTTTGCTTTTAGGAAAGTTTTGAAAAAGCAAAGTGTCAAGGTGATCTTGGACGTGTTAGTGTACGAATCACTTGTGGCAACTTTGGCAATACTAGTGGGGCTATTTGCAAGTGGGGAATTTAGAGGGTTGAGGGCAGAAATGAAGGATTATGGAATGGGAAAGGCAAGTTATGTGCTGAATCTGAGCTTCACTGCCATATCATGGCAACTTGTTAACGTGGGATGTGTGGGTTTGATTCTGGAGGTGTCATCAGTATTCTCAAATGTGATAAATGTTATGGGTTTGCCAATTGTACCTGTTCTGGCGTTAGCATTCTTCCATGACAAGATGAATGCGTTGAAGGCGATATCTTTGGTGCTTGCTCTTTGGGGCTTTTTGTCATACACCTACCAGCAATACTTAGATGGGATCAATTCTTATACTGATGGGCACAAAAACAATGATGAATTTCTCAGCGACTCAGTATCAGAAGGGTTGAATGGAATATCTGGGCAAGCAGGAGTAGTTCAGTGATGATCTGATATTATTTATAAGCTTTAAATTTGAAAAGAAATATAGTCTATTTTATAAGTTTTAATTTAAGTTTGTCATAATGTTTAAGATATTTTTTCAAGAAAAAATTACAAATAAAGACTCCCTACCATGCAAAATTATGTTTTGGGACTCTCAATTTGAAAGATAGCAAATAAGGACCCGGTCTCACTTTTACAAATATGAAATATGGGTGAAATGTCTAAAATACCCCTCAGCCAAATTGTGATTTGGTTTACTGAAGTTGTCATTCGTTAAAGTGAATTTGTCATTTCTCATAGTCAACTTGTTATTTGGCATACTCTTAGTCAAGTTGTGATTTGGTCTACTGAAATTGTTATTCGCTGAAGTGAACTTATTATTTCACATAGTCAATTTGTCATTTGCTTAAGGGGCATTTCAAACATTTTACTACGATTTCATATTTGCAAAAATAAACCCGGTCCTTATTTGTTACTTTCCAAATCGAGGGTTACAAATCATAATTTTACATATTGAGGGTCATTATTAGCAATTGTCCTTTTTTTAATGTTATCATTAATTATATTTTTATCATATTTTCTTATATATATTTTGGTATATTTAAACATAAAAATTTATTTTTAATTAATTATTTATCATCCGTCAATTAATTATTTAAAATTTGTGAGGAATATATCAACAAAAAGTTACAAAGTGTCAATGTGATGCGGACGTAGAGCTGTAAGAATTTTTACGTGAGGAGTTTTATCAAATATAATAAAATTTTGATAATTTATGCTTTTTTCATTTTAAAGACTTTTATCTTTTACCACTTTAAAGAGTAGTTAATGTTTTTGATTTTTTAATTTTTTAAGCCTAACATATAAAGTTGGTTGGGATGATATATTAATTTGGATTATGGTACATTTAATACTTTAAAATATTTTTTTAAGTATATTCAGTGTCTCAAAAGAATATCTAAAATACTTTACGATATTGGATGCACTTTAAAAAATATTTCAGGATACTGAATGTATCACAAAATATTTTAAGGTGTTGAATGCATATGAAAAAATACTTCAAAGCGCTTGATACACCTTAATCCTATTAGTTTATAAGAAATTAAAATTGATAGTGGTGAAAAGAAACAAGAAATAAAACAACAAAAAGGAGAAATCACTATAAGGCGTTGGAGATAGAATTTAATCATCCAAAAGTCTGATAACAATTTATGAGCATATAATAACAAGTTTTAATATAGAAAATGATAATAGTTACGCTGCTCATTTGTCATCAATAATGTTCAGTAAGTAAACATAAATATATTAAATTTAAGTCTTTCAACATTTTATTTATTTTCTTTTTGTTGGCCTTTTGGCTTTATCTCCGCTGTCGGTGAGAGTGAGACTGTGACCTTTTAACTAATTTAATTGTGCTATGTTGCCTTTCCAACTTCTGAGATTACAAAATCAGATTATTTCCTTCCCTCCTTTACTCCACTCTCCTCTCCCTACCCATTCCGAATCCTTAATTCCCTCCAGCAAGCAGATGGCAAGTGGAGGCGATAAACCCTTTCTGCCATTAGAGATTATCATCAACATTCTCAAAAGGCTTCCTGTCAAATCCATTGTTCGATTTCAATCTGTGTGCAAAGAATGGAAACATCTCTTCAAAACCCCATCTTTCATCGCTGAACATGCCCGCCACTCTGCTCACGATGACCCTTTGCTTCTCCTCTATGGATACGATTACCAACGGAGGCGTCCGTCCTTATGCTTGCTTAATCATAAGATTGAAACCGTTAAAGTTGTTAGCATACCATCGATCGATTCCTTCAGACGTAGTTGGAGAATCATTGGTTCTTGCAATGGTTTGCTTTGTGTCAAAGTCGATCATGATAGAGGCAGGTCTCCTAGTCTTTGGTTGTGGCACCCAGTGATTAAAAAGGTCAGAGAAATACCCCTAACTTCGAATGATTTTTGGGACATTTGCACATATGGATTTGGGTTCAGTAGCACTGTTAACGATTACAAGATAGTGAGATTTTATAATAATGAGTCGCGTAAAAAGAAGGAAGATCAGCGCCACCATACCATTGGGTATGATCGAGTGGAGGTGTATTCATTAAGCACAGGTTCATGGAAGGAACTAGAATTTGAATTTGGGGCTATAGAGCATATAGGATTTATTCCTCAAGCTGTCAATGCTGATGGAACCATTTCTTGGTTGGGATTAGGGCTTTCACCTCTACTAGTTTCGTTCGACATAGCCACGGAAGTCTTTACATTAACACAAATACCAACTGAGTATGGTACTATGTTTGGGCTTGGTGTGTACGATAACAAACTTGAGGTTCACTATATGATTGAGGAGGAGTCTGGATCTCATTTCATCCGTGTAAGGGTGATGGAGGAGGTTGCTATTGAATCTGGGAAGACTTTGAGTTATACTCAGAAATATACAATTGGTCCAGTGTCAGATTTTTTACGTCCCGCATGTATTTGGAGGAATGAAATAGTCTGCCGTAACAAGAAAATTGAGGCTGAGGTGGAGGATGATCCAAGGTGTATTCTTTATCTGTTCAATCTCATTACTGGCGAAGGGAGGAAGTTCAACTATTCATGTGACTGTGACTGGTGTGATATTTTCACTTATGAGGAGAGCCTTGTGTCTGTTTGGAACATCCAGGTTGAATAGCCTTACTCTGAAATACGATTGTTTCTACGTTCCAGATTTCCTTTGTCACTGTAATTTTTGGTGAAATTTAATCCACAAAACCTTATAACCTCTTGGTTGTATCTATAATCCTTGAAGTCCCTTTGATCTGTGATATCGAATGGAGAAGTTCAGTACTACTGTTTTCAAACTTTATTTTAGCCTTTTATATATCATCTTATGTTCAATTTTCGTGGATAACATGTAGTTTAGTTGCTGCTATATGAATTTGTTGGGTTTTGTTGGCCACTTGATATACTTATAGGGAAGCAAAGGTTATCATGACATAGTAAAGCTTCTTGCTCTCTCATTTTTCTTTTAATCTGATGGAGCAATATAATTAATACCCAGCACAAGAGAGTGAACTATATGAGTTATTGCTTTGTGTTTCTTATGCATGAATATGTAGTTTAGTTGCTATTATGCACAGCACAGGAGACTGAACTATATAGTTTATTGCTTTGTGAACTATATGCCCCTTAGATTTGTTATCTAGAATAGAGAAATTGAGTTCTAACTGCGTCCAACTTTTCAACTTTCCACATCATCAGATGTTTAGTTTTAATAGATATATCTAATTGCTGCTATATAAATTATTTGGGTTTTGTTGTCCACTCAAGGAAAGGTTAACAGGACTGACTTGAGCAATTTGTTTTCCAAATATAAATTTGAGGAATGAGGCTTCTTGCGGCCTTAATGGAAGTATTGAACTTATTGGTGAAAGTGAGGGTGAGAATGAAGTATGCTATAAAAACCTTTCTACTCTGTTCCAACTCACCGGAGAAGCTACCCACAGAGCCTCTTGCTGTTTACTGCACCCGGTTGAATAGCCTTGCTCTGAAAAACTCATTTTTATGTGGCTGATTTACTTTGAGAACGGTTGGTGAGAATGAATCCACAAAAGATAGCATTGGACATTTTGGTTGTTTGTATAAACCTTGATGCCATTTAGGTCAGTCATCTTGAATAGAAAAATTCAATGCTAGATCTTCCGGGATTTATTTATATTACTGATGGCCCAAAATTTTTTTTTTTTTTTACTGTCTATACCAACAGGTGTTCAGTTTTCATAGATGAATGCATAATTTAGTTGCTTCTTTCTTTAGATTTTGTCTTCCAGTTAGATTTTGTCCATCATTTCATTTCATTTCTTTATCTGGTCAATCTCACTGCAAAAGAATGGAAGGAGTTCCACAACTTTTCATAGACCTATGTCTGTTGTGATATTTTCAATTATGAGAAGAGTTTTGTGTCTGTTGGCAACATCGATGTTGTTTAGTCTTGCTCTGAAGTAGGATCATTTCTGTATTCCAGGTTACTTGTCTCAGTAGTTTTGGTGGAAATTAATCCATATAGCCTGTTATAATTTTGGTTGTACCTATAATCCTTTATTCTCCTTTAAATTGGTGATCTGGAATGTAGAAATTCAGTTCTAGTTGTTCCAAACTTTATTTTAGCTTTCTATATCATCGTATGATCAATTTTCATGTATAAATATATAGTCTAGTTGCCTGCTATATAATATTTTCTGGGCTTTATTGGCCACTTAGTATGCTAAGAGGAAATGAAAGGTTACCATGACCGATTAAAGCTTCTTGCTTTGTGATTTTTTATCCAAAACAAATGGAGTGATAGGTGTGATACATAGCACAAGAGAATGAACTATTTGAGTTGCTGCTTTGTTTTCTGGGGAATCACATCACAATAGGCTTGTTATGTAACATGAAGGCCTTCCTATAATTGAAGTACTGGAATTTGTTTATATGGATCTGATTTATCATTATATTTTTCAATTACACAAGAGAGCCTTATGCCTGTGGATTGATGTCCTTTATATTTGTTGTTGAAGTGAATTTGTAAAATGGCTTTAAACATTTTGGTTGCTCCTATAATCTTGATGCCCTTTACATCGGTCGCCTATAGTATAAAAATTCAGTAGCAGTTGTTTCAAATTTTGGATTATTTACTGTCTGAATGAGCGTATCATAAGTTTTCCTCCCCTAAATGTGAAAATTAAACATGAAAATGGTTGTGACTGGCCTTATATTTTGGGAGAGACATCAACACATTAAAATTTTTATTATGACTAATGTAAGTTATGATTAATTCACATTAAAATTGTGACTGGCCTTGTATTCCATCAAGCGACTGCAGAGGATGACGCATGAAGTGGGTCAATTAAGTTTAATTTACTTTTTCTATTCATTCTCATCGAGAATTTTTAATTTTTTAGAATTGGATAAAACTTTAAATTGGTTTCTTCGATCCGGTTCCTTTTAGAAGAAGTGTGCTACCTCCGGTTTTTAATATAAGACCTTGTTTGACTTTTATTTTGGTCCTAAATATAAAACTTCAATTCAATTTGTCTATCATATTTATCCATTTTTTCCAAATTAGTCTTTGTAGTAATTGTACATGTTAAATGTTCAATCAAATAGTAGTTTTAATTAATACATATGATTAGTAAGGGTTGTCTAGGGAAGACAACACTTAATTGTTGTAAATAAGTAACTTAATAAGCTTTCTTAATTTATTTAAATTAGTCAACTAGTTTTTATATTAAGAACCAAAAGTAGTATTAATCTAGTGGGGCTTAGAAAAATTTCCATACCCAGTCGTTTAGTTTGTTGTCCATCCTTCAAATTTTAATGAGTGATGACTAGTATTAGGTTTGATCGTGTCTGCTATAAATTAATGTCAACATGATAAACCAAAATTAATAATGTTTTGATTCTGATTAACTCTATTTAAAATTTAAAATTTAATTACTTTTCAATTTTACTCTTATTTAACATATATTATTACAATTAGTATAATGTCTGTTCAATAATAAATGAAATCTTATAAAAATTTAACAATGTAATTTACAAATAAGGCCAAAATAAACATTATTTTTCTGTCTTATAAATAGAACTTACATCACACATTAATCAAATAATGCTTTAAAATTTCTACAATTTCCCGACACATAAAAATAGGACTTTTTTGGGGCTGGGGGAATCCTAGAGGATTGTCTAAATAGCCTAATTATGTCTTTTCATAGTTCATTTTAATATACATGTTTTATTTTTTTTGATGAATTACTTTTAACCTCTTCATGCATGTCTATCATAATTTTTATCTGCAGCATGCAAATATGGAGGAAGTTAAAATTTTTTCTGTTAAATCCCATATTTTATTCAAAATTAGCCGGGGAAAACTCCACTGAAAAAATAAATTTCCAATGCATATCAGTTCGCAATACTTGAAAAAAACATAAGGCTAGTTTGTTTATATATTTTCAACAGTTTTTTAAAAAAAAAATCTATTTATTGGTCTATTTGTTTTTTCTCAAAAAAATTTATAAAATTATTTTTTAAAACAAGTTTTAAAAAATAAAAAAATATGTTTGGATAATTATTCTAAAAAAATTATGTTTAAAAATAAATATATTGAGATCGCAGAATAAATCTTCAATAAAAACTCAAGTCCTCAAATGAAGTGAAAGCTATGGAACGGAGAAGAAAGGGTTTCCAATTTTGCTAAAACAGAAAATTAAAAAAAACTAAAAATTGTTTTGGTTTTTTAGTTTTTAAAAACACATTTATGTTTTTTATTTTTAAAAATAATTAACTAAAAAAATTACTAAATTTCATAAAAAAAGTTTCTCATAAAAACAACAAATTACTAAAGAGATTTTTTTATTACTTTTATTTTTAAAAATTAAAAACTGATTGAAAAAAACAAGGCCCAATCTATTTTTAATTAAGTGTTTAAAAAAACCGGTGATTTGTTTTTGGACGCGGCTTTTATCCTTTTTTCCCTGCCGTTGCCATTCTTAACTTCGAAACTACGCTGTTTTGGGGAAAATGAGAGACGATGAATTTGTTTTTAAAAAATTAGCATCCTAAAATAATTTTTCAGTGTCATTCAGTATTTTAAATTAATTTTTAGTGCACTTAGTGTAAGCTATTTTTCGTTATCAAACATTTAGCACCCTGAAGTATTTTCTAATAATACCCAATATCCTAAAAGTTTTTTATTAATGCCTATCATTTAGTATCTATCACATAGAAGTATTTTTTTAAGTGGTACTCAATGTTTCAAACTAATTTTTAGTTCATCCAACACCTTAAAATATTTTTTAATAATATTCTTTCAGTTCTAAATATAAAATCCCTTTTGTAGTGTAAATTATATTACAAAAAATGTTTTATATTTAGGACTGAAAAAAATACTACTACCTCCGGTCCTAATTATAAGACCCGGTTGACTTATTTGAGGAGATTAAGGAAGTAAGTTAAGTTAGTTATTTGTAATAAATAAGTGTTGTCATTCCTAAAATATCCTTGCTAATTAAGTATATTGGCTAGAACTATCATTATTAGAAGGATTATCTTGGAAAAAAATGTATAAATATGAGAGATAAAATGGATTGGGGTCTTATAATTAAGACCAAACAAAAAGTCAAACGGGGTCTTATAATAAGGACCGGAGGTAGTATTACACTACAAAAAGGTCTTATATTTAGGTTGGTGGAGTATTTAGCATCTTAGAGTAATTTTTAGTGCAATATTTTAAGGTATTGAATACCCTAAAATTTAGTTTAAGATACTTTAATGTACTGAATTCTAGATAATAAGCGTTACTAAAAAAATATTTTAGAATGTTAAGGGAACCAAAATTATTTTAAGATATTAAGTGTTATTAGAAAATGCAGGGTGTTAGGTGTTAGATACTAGGTGCCACTAAAAAATATATTTTAGAGTATTAAATGTTCTAAAAATTAATTTTGGATATTAAATAATACTGAAAAAATATTTTAAAATGTTAGAATTATTAAAAAAAAAATCCTCCCCTGTTTTCCTCCAAAACGGCGCAGTTTTGGCGGCATGGGATGGCCGCGAACGGTAAAACCGTAAGAGAAAAGAGAAGCCGCGTCCTTCGTTTTTCTTATCCGCTTGCTCCCTGGTCCCTTGGGGGCTTGAGTGCTCGTCGTCCCCTCACCCTCCGGTCTCAGTGTTCGGTGCTCGCCGTCTTCTCCTCTCGGTGCTTCCCATCTCCAATCTCTCTTTCCTCCCTCCTTAGTCCTCAATCGGTGAGTCCTCAGCCTCTACTCTCTCTCCTTGTCTGATTCATTTAGTGGGTTTTTGAGCTAAAACCTGATCTGCATCATTTAGTGGGTTTTTGTTTATACGATTTGTTTTTGTTGCTTGCTGTAACTCTCATTGTTCCCCGCCACTCGGATGCTGAGTACTTTGGATAAACCTCAATCTCTGGGTGTCCTGTCTTTCACTGGCTACAAGCAATGCTTATGACAGCGCATTCTCCCAACATATCTAACCCAACTCACCATCATCCCTTTTCTGTTTTCGTCCTCGACGTATTTTATAATCCCAGCACAATCTTGCTTTAATGATTCCGTCATTCCTTGTATTCTCAATTCCAAGTGGAAAAAAAGCAAGCATTGTGGTATGTTTAAGAACTAGCTTTTGAATTTAAACAGGGAGAGTGTAGATTTTCAAATAGTTTATGGTTATGCAAATGATTAATTATTGTAATATAATATCTAGACCTTGATATATTATTTGCCTGCATGTGTAAGGGGGATAATAACCTTTGAGGTTACCTGTAGTCTTTGAACTCTTTGAAGCATGTTCTCTGTTCATTACTCTCGTACTGCTTTTTGAGTCCTAAGAAATGTCAAACTTATTCCGTTATTAATCGTAAAATTTAATTTGTTCATGTCCTTGGCCCTGTATTCTTGTGATCACTTATTTTATCCACGACTTTTAAGATGCAAATCCTTGATCTGCTTGGTTCAGTCACAAATGAAGGAGGGTTTAGACTTAGAAGATTCCATCAATGAAGAACAGAGACCAGCACAGAGTGGCTTTTGTTCCTTTTCAAAAGCTCCCCCAGCATATCAGAAAATCCTTTAGGGCAATTTAGAATATTTCTATTCAAGACTCAGCTTAGGAAACAATATTTCTTAATCACATGCTTGATAAATATTTATTGCTTTGACTTGATCTTCGTTTCATTAGTTCTGTTCCATATGATACACACATCAACAAGTGATTTTCTTTCATAATATGATATCTAATAAGTTATGCTTTATTTTTGTTCCAGTGGCCCCGTGTTTGGTTTTTGATGTTGCTTTCCTGTGTCTTGCTGCAGTGGACATGCTTTACTTTGAAATATTTATTAGGGACACTCTTCTCTGTTTTTTTTTTTTTTTTTAATGCAAAAATTTTTTCTCTATTGCCTTTGCAAGATTCCAAAGAGCAATTATCTCTTTCACTCCCTCACTCCACTCCTCTTCCCAAGAGCCCTCCAGCAAGTAGATGGCGAGTGGAGGCAATGAACCCTTTCTGCCATTTGAGATTATCATCAACATTCTCAAAAGGCTTCCTGTCAAATCCATTGTTCGATTTCGATGTGTGTGTAAAGATTGGAAAAATCTCTTCAAAACCCCATCTTTCATCACTGAACATTTACGCCACTCTGATCATGACAACCCTTTGCTTCTCCTCCATGAATACAATTGCTATCGTGGGCATACGTCCTTAGGTTTGCTTAATCATAAGATGGAAACCATTGAAGTTCTGAGCATACCCTCGATCGATGGCTTTAGATATAATTGGAGCATTATTGGTTCCTGCAATGGCTTGCTTTGTGTCACAATCAATCTTTATCGAAACGGGTTTCCTCGTTCGCTTTGTCTATGGAACCCAATGATTAGAGAGGTCAGAGAAATACCCCAAACAACAAATGATTACTGGGGCTTTTGCAGGTTTGGATTTGGGTTCTGTAGCATCCTTAATGATTACAAGATAGTGAAATTTTATAATCAAGAGTTGCGTAAGAAGAAGGAAATAGATCAAGACTATGATGTTGCCAAACAAGGGCATGATGGAGTTGAAATGTATTCACTAAGCACAGATTCATGGAAGGAACTAGGATTTGGAGCTTTACAAAATATAGAAGTTACATTTACAACTGCTAGTACTGATGGAATGATGGTTTGGGTGGGAGAAAGGGATTCTTTTCCTGTGCTAGTTTCCTTCGACATGGTGACTGAAGTGTTCACAATAACCCCAATACTGTCTGTGGATGGCGGTCTTCCAACCAATCTTGGTGCGTACCAGGGCAAATTTGCTATATTTTTTCGTAGCTATGGATATAATTCTACGGATATAATGGTGATGGAGCAGGTTGCTAGTGAATCTGGGAGGAGTTTGAGTTGTACTGAAGAATATAGCATTGACACATTTTCACATGCTCCAGATCCTGTATGTATTTGGGGGAATGAAGTAGTTTTCTTAGGCATTGAAAGTGAGACTGATGAGTCGGAGGGTATACCAGGGTACTTTCTTAATCTGTTCAATCTCACTACTAAGAAATGGAAGGAGTTCCGCAACTTTTCATCTAACCATGACTGCAGTGCTGGTTTCACTTATGAAAGGAGCCTTGTATCTGTTTGGAACACCCAGGTTGAATAGCCTTGGTCGGAAATATGATCCTTATTTCTGCATTCCAGGTTTCTTTTGTCTCTAATCCACCAAACCTCTCCACATTTTGGTTGTATCCATAATCGTTGAAGCTCCTTTGATTTCGAATGGAGAAATTCAGTACTAGTTGTTCCAAACTTTATTTAAGCGTTCCACATCATCATACGTTCAAACATCATGTATAAATATGTAGTTTAGTTGCTGCAATATTTTTTTTTTTTGGGGGTTTCATTGGCCACTGCATATGCTAAGAAGAAATGAAAGGCTAACATGACAGATTAAAGCTTCTTGCTTTGTGATTTTTTATCTAAAACAAATGGAGTGATTGGTTAGATACATTGCACAAGAGAATGAACTATTTGAGTTGCTGCTTCGTTTTCTGGTGAAGCACATCACAATAGGCTTGTTATGCAACAATCAACATGAAGGCCTCCCTATATCGGCTAAATCTCACTCCTTATGAATTGAAGTATTGCAATTTGTTTATGTGGATTGATGTCCTTTGTATCTTTCATGGAAGTGGATTTGCAAAATGGCTTATATCTGTTGTATATAATATAGAAATTCAGTACCGGACGTCTCAAACTTTGGGCTACTGTCAATATGATCATATAATAAGTTTTTCCCTCCTCCAGATGTGAAAACATGGAAATGGTTGTAACTGGAATAGCCTACGCAGGGTAGTATTCGGAGGTCATGGCCTTATATTTTGAGAGAATTGTTAACGGATTGAAATTGTTATGAATAATTTACATTAGTTTACATTTTTTTCATTCATTCTCATCAAGAACTTTAAATTTTTGGGAATTGGATAAAAATTTAAATTTGTTTCATATTCTAAAATCTGTTTAAATGAAATGTTGCTTACAAATCTAATATTGTTTCACAAGGACCATACATGCAAAGGATATAATGCAGACTCGTTTAATTTGTTATCCATCCTTCAAAGTCTGTCCAGTATTAGGTTTTTGATAACCTTATGATAGAATTATGTTAACCAATAATAAGTCTTTGTTTGCTTTTTAAGCCAATAATAAATCTTCACAATAATATTTCACCCCAAAAAATCTAAACAATAATAAATAAAAGATAACTTAACTTATAAACAAAACTGAAATAAAGATTATCTTTTTGTCTTATAAATAAGTGGAGTACGTACATCACACCTGAATTAAATAACGTTTAAAATTTTCACAAATTTCCAACACAAAAATAAAACTTTTTTTAATCTTAGGGAACTGTCCAAATAGCCTAATTATTTCTTTTAAACTCCTCATACTTGTCCGTTATATTTTTTTTTGTTGAAAAAAGTGTATTATAATTTCTATCTGCAGCATGAAAACATGGAGAAAGTTGCAATTTTTTCTGTTAAATATTGATATTTTATTCCAAATTAATTGCGGAAGATTCAATGCTCCAGTAAAAAAAAAATTTAAATTCATATCAATTATCAGAGAACTTTTTAATGCTTATTTCTCCCTCTCATGCGCAAAACTTAAAAAAATGCTAGTACTATAGTTTTTTTCCGTTGCCTTTACGAATTGCGAGATTGCACAAAGCAATCGTCTCTTTCACTCCTTCACCCCACTCCTCTGTCTTCCCAAGAGCGCAATCTTGAAAAAAAGGCTTCGAACCCAGTGTCATTCAAGATTATCATCAACCCTTTCCCTCCAGCAAGAAGATGGCGATTGGAGGCGACGAACCCTTGTTGCCATTCGAGATTATCGTCAACATTCTCAAAAGGCTTCCTGTCAAATCCATCGTTCGATTTCGATGTGTCTGTAAAGATTGGAAAAATCTCTTCAAATCCCCATCTTTCATCGCTGAACACTTACGCCACTCTGATCGCAAAAACCCTTTGCTTCTCCTCCAGGAATACAATTGCTATGATAGACGTGCGTACTTCTGTTTGCTTGATCATAAGATGGAAGCCGTTGAATCTTTTAGCACACCCCCCAATTGGGGTGTTACTGGTTCCTGCAATGGCTTGCTTTGTGTCAAAATCTATCTTTATCGAAACGGGTTTCCTGTTTACCCAATGATTAGAGAGGTCAGAGAAATACCCCAAACAACAATTGATTCTTGGTTTTGCATGTTTGGATTTGGGTTCAGTAGCATTCTTAATGATTATAAGATAGTGAAATTTTATAATCAAGAGTTGCGTAAGAAGAAAGAAACAGGTCGAGACTATCATTTCGCCAAACAAGGGCATGATGGAGTCGAAATATATTCATTAAGCACAGATTCCTGGAAGGAACTAGAATTTGGAGCTTTATAGAATATAAAAGTTAAATTTAGAACTGCCAGTGTTGATGGAATAATTGTTTGGTTAGGAGAAAAGGATTCTTTTCCTGTGCTAGTTTCTTTTGGCATAGTGACCGAAGTGTTCACAATAACACCATTGCTGTCTGTGGATGACTATTTTCCAGTTAATCTTGGTGTGTACACTGACAAACTTGCTATATTTTGGCGTAGCCATAGAGACAATTCCATGGATATAAGGGTGATGGAGCTGGTTGCTACTGAATTTGGGAGGCGTTTGAGTTGTCAGAGTATATCTTTGACACATTTCCACATGCTTCAGATCCTGTATGTATTTGGAGGAATGAAATAGTTTTCTTAGGCATTGAATGTGAGATTGAAGCAGGACGATGTACCAGTGTACTTTCTTAATCTGTTCAATCTCACTACTAAAAAATGGAAGGAGTTCCGCAAATTTCCATCTGCCCATTAGTGCCATGCGGGTTTCAATTATGAAAGTAGCCTTGTGTCTGTTTGGAACACCGAGGTTGAATAGCCTTGCTCTGAATATGATTCTTATTTCTGCATTTCAGGTTTCTTTCGTCTTTAATCCACCAAACCTTTCCGCATTTTGGATGTATCCATGATCCTTGAGGCCCCTTTGAACAGTGATTTGGAATGGGGAAATTTAGTACTAGTTTGTTTCAAACTTTAGTTTAGCTTTCTGTATCATCATATGTTCAATTCTCATGTATGAATATATAGTTCAGTTGATGATATGTAATCTTTTGTGGGTTTTATTGGCCACTTAATATGCTAAGAGGGAAGGAAGGGCTAACCTCATCCCAGATTAATGCTTCTTGCTTTGTCATGAAGGCCTTCCTATATCCGTTAAATCTCAGTACATAAAGTCCTTCCTTTAGCTGCTGCTAGATCTGAGCATTCACTTTTATGTGGATGTGACTTATCATTATGTTTTTCAATTACACAGAGAGCCTTATGTGTGTTGATTGATGCCCTTCCACATCTGTTGAAGCTTTAACATTTTGGTTGCCCCTATAATCTTGATGCCCTTTATAACAGTTGTCTTTAATTAGAAATTCAGTTATCAGATGTTTCAAAATTTGGGTTTAGTGTCTCTATGAGCATATCATAATGTCTTTTTTTTCTTTTTTTGAATGGAGTTGTGTGAATTTTCATTCAAAAGAGTACAAGAACAATGCAATCAGAGGACAAATACAAGAACCAAACAACCTCCTTGATAAAAGACTGCTGGAAGTTGAAGATGGTTCATGATCAAAGTTCCAAGTCCCAAATTCTAGACCCAGGATCACTATAATAGTTGGGCATGGCTGATGAATTTTTCCTTTTTATGACTTCAGGAAGAGTTCTAGTAACACAATTATATTTGGACAGAAGAAGCTTCACCCATAAAAGCTCGATTTTGACAACTAAGATCTTTAATTCCCACTCCTCCATTTGTCTGATCATTCTGAACAATTGTGAGAAATAATGTTAGCAACTGCAAAATGGACATGTTATTTCAATTTTAATATTTTAATATAATATTATATAAAAAGTTAAAAATAATAGTGGTTTTATGAAAATTGCTTATGCAAGTATTTTGAAATTAATATACTACTATTGGTAATGAATGAGTGTTATTTGTCTTGCGGAAATTGGAGTCCGAGTACTATGTGAAATAAAAATATTTATTATTTATAGTTTTATACTGTAGGGCAATGTTTCTTTGTTACCCTAATGTCATTCAAATAAAAAAAAAAAAATTAGTAGGATGAAATGATCCACAAACTACTCATTTTTTATAACCTTATCCACAAGCTACCCCTCTCTCTCTCTTCTTCTTTTTTTAGTCAAAGATCTACAGGTTACTTTTTCAATGCAGCCTAACCAAACAAAAAGAAAATAACATTTATTTAAATGTGAGACAGCATATGAACTTGAAATCAATGTAAAACGTCCTTCAGACCCTTGCTCGACTCCTCCTCTTCGTATGAGTGCCAATTCCGAAATCCTAATTCCCTTTCGCAGGCAGATGGCGAGCGGAGGCGACAACCCCTTTCTGCCATTCGAGATTATCATCAACATCCTCAAAAGGCTTCCTGTCAAATCCCTTGTTCGATTTCAATCTCTGTGTAAAGAATGGAAAAATCTCTTCAAAACCCCATCTTTCATCGCTGAACACCTCCGCCATTCTGATCACCAAAACCCCTTCTCCTCCGTGAACACAATGTTCGTCATTGGTCCTCGTCCTTATGTTTGCTTAATTATAACATGGATACCGTTGAAGTTCTGAGCATTCCCTTCAGACGCAGTTGGAGAATCATTGGTTCCTGCAATGGCTTACTTTGTGTCGAAGTCATTCATAATCGAGGCAGGTCTTCTAGTTCGCTTTGGCTGTGGAACCCGGTGATTAGAGAAGTTATAGAAGTACCTAGCACACTGAATGATCATAGGTACGTTTGCTGTCTAGGATTTGGATTCAGTAGCATCGTTAATGATTACAAGATAGTGAGATTCTACAATCAAGAGTTGCGTAGAAAGAGGGAAAATCAATACTTTCAATTCATCAAGCATGATCGGGTGGAAGTGTTTTCATTAAGCACAGGGTCATGGAAGGAACTGGAGTCTGAGGCTTTACGGCATACAGAAGTTTTACGTGGTGCTTTGAATGCTGATGGAACTATTTTTTGGTCTGGATTCCGGTCTTTCTCATCCATAATAATTTCGTTCGACATAGCAAGGGAAGTGTTTACATTAACACCAACACCAAGACCAACTGAACATGATGTTTCATTTGGTGTGTACGGGAACAAACTTGAGGGTCACTATGTGATTAAAGAGGGCCCTGGATCTCATTTCATCGGTGTTTGCGAGGTGGAGGACGTTGCTAGTGCATCTGGGAATGGTTTGAGTTGTATTCAGAAAGATAGGGTTGGACCAATGTCAGGTGTTATACGTCCCGTATGTGTTTGGAGGAATGAAATAGTCTGCTATCACATTAAAGAGACTGAGGTGGAGGGTAACCCAAAATGCGTTCTTCATATGTTCAATCTCATTACTAATGAACGGAGGACGTTCAACTGTTCAATTGACTGTGACTGGTGTGATATTTTCAATTATGATGAGAGCCTTGTGTCTGTTTGGAACACGCAGGTCCCCTAGCGTTGCTCTCACATATGATCATTTCTACATTCCAGGTTTCTTTTGTCACAGTATTTTTGGTGGGCTCTTACATATGATCATTTCTACATTCCAGATTTCTTTTGTCACAATAATTTTGGTGGGAATTAACGCACAAAACCTTTTTACACTTTGGTTGCATCTATAATCCTTGAAGCCCCTTTTGATCTGTGATCTGAAATGGAGAAATTCAGTACTAGTTGTTTCAAACTTTATTTTACCCTTTCATATATCATGATATGTTCAATCTTCATGGACGACATATGGTTTAGTTGCTGCTGTATGAATTAGTTGGGTTTTGTTGGCTACTCAATATACTTAGAGGGAAGGAAAGGTGGACGTGATGGATTAAAGCTTCTTTCTTTCTCATTTTTTTAATCTAATGAAGCAATAAAATTATTACCCAGAGCGAACTGTATGAGTTATTGCTTTGTGTTTCTCATGGATGAATATATAGTTTAGTTGCTATTATATACAGCAGAAGAGAGTGAACCATATGCCCCTTAGATTTGTTATCTAGAATGGAGAAATTGAGTTCTAGCTGCTTCCAACTTTTCGACTTTCCACATCTTCAGATGTTTAGTTCTAATGTGTGTGTGTTTAGTTCTAATACATCTATAGTGTGCGTGTGAGCGTGCGCGTGTGCGTGTCTAATTGCTGCTATATAAATTCTTTGGGTTTTGTTGTCCACTTAGACATACTGGAAGGAAAGGTTAACAAGACTGACTTAAGTCATTTGTTTTCCAAATATTAATTGGTAGAATGAGGTTTCTTGCAGCCTTACTGAAAGTATTGAACTCATTGGTGAAAGGAGAGTGAGAGTGAAGTATGGCATATATACCTTTGTACTCTGTTCCAACTCACCACTAATGAATTGGAGAAAGTGAGAGTGAAGTATGGCATATATACCTTTGTACTCTGTTCCAACTCACCACTAATGAATTGGAGAAGCTCCCTAACATTTTTAGATGCCATTATTGTTTTATTTTTCCATTATTGATTAAGCTTGCACTGAAACTCTGATTGTTATGTGGCTGATTTACTTTGAGAACTTTTGGTGGAAATGAATCCGTACAAAAGATAGCATTGAACATTTCGGTTGTTTCTATAATACTCCCTCCGGTCCTATATATAAGCTTCACATTTGAAAAGGGGTTTGGTCCAATTTATAAGCTTCATTTTGAACTTTGTCTGAACATCTAATACTTTTTTCCAATTTTACCCTTAGTTGATTTTATTTAGTGTTTTATCTTTTCCAATGACTATGAATAGCATTAATTAGAAAGGTGGCTAGCTTGATTTCCCTCCAATTATTTTAATAATTCATTCTCTCTCTGTTATATGAACTCTCTCTGTGGCATATACTAGCCTATATATTCTCTCTCATCTTTTATTCTTTTACTCCCTCCGTTCCTTATTATAAGAGACGAATAACCGAATTACGTTGATAAAAAAAAAAACAATTAAAATTAGTTAAGAACAATCAATGTGTAAAAGGTATAATTTTTTTTCCAAAAAAGCCCTCATTAATAAGGAGAGAGAGCATGAGAGAGAACAATGGTAAATTATTCAAAAAAAGAGAAGTGGGAATGAGAGAGAGTGTGAGTTGAAGACAATAAATATGGGTAAAATAGGACATCAACACAAAAAAATAGAGACAACTTCTAGGTGTCTCTTATATATAGGAATATGCCATAAGCATCAAATGTCTCTCATAATAAGAAACGAAGGGAGTATTGTCTCTCTCAATTACTCTCATAATAAATAAGGGCATATTTGGAAAAAAAATATTTTCTTTAATCTATTTATTGTTTTGACTAATTTTAACTCCTTGGTTGTTAAATGCGATTTAGTTATTTGAAGCTCATATATAGGACTGGAGGGAGTAGAAAAGTTATGATACTAAATCTTCCATGATTTGTTTTTATCACTGATCTAATTGTGCTTGATGTGTATGAGAACAAAGTTGCTATGCTTCATCAATACCCTGCCCATGAATCTGCATTTATTGATTTATGGGTGTTGGAAGTGGGAAGGGCTGCATATGGGAAGAGTTGGGGTTGGACTAAGAATTAAGAAATATAGTTTCAGACCAACTTTACGTTCCTTATATCCAATATGCTTTTGGAGGAATGAAATATTCTGCCAAAACCTTGAATGTGTGAGTTCGCTCAATCTCACTACGTACTGATAACAAATTGAAGAAGTTCCAAATTTCTTTGCCTGTTGGTGTTGTGAGTGGAGGATTCTTTTATGTAGAGAGCCTCGTGCCTATGCACGACACATATGTTGGATAGCCTTGTCATGAAATTCTCACTTTTGTATTCTAGATTTACTTGGTCTTGCTAATACATTTTGGTTGTATCTGTTATCTAGAATAGAGAAAGTTCTATCTGCTTCTGATTTTTTATATTTCTATGTCATCAGATGTTGAGTTTTACTTGCTATGTTTTTGTGTCTTTTTTTTTTTCCGGTAAACATTGCACACTTTTTTAGGAAAAAAAATTACAAGAGAGCATATTTCAAAGGCAAAATGCTACTTTGATGGAGTGGAGACTTGCATGTGCATCATGTCGTCATTTATTTATTCTTTTTCATGATGAAGATGGTACAATTATTAACATTTGTTCATACTTGCAACGTTAAACTTAGCGTGA